AGTAGTTTTCTACAGGGGTCGGGTGTGGGTGGGGGGCAGGTTAGGGTCGGGGTGGGGGTCGAGGTGGGGGTGGTAACTAGAGAACTTGGAAAGGACTTCGGGTTGGAATGAGGTAGAGAGCCAGGCCTTCGGCTTCTCTCAGTGTCCAGGTATTTCACTCTTTTCCTAAGAAAACAGGGAAGGCTTTTTCCTCCTTTATTGTTTTAATTTATTTTTTATTTTTTTTGAGACAGAGTCTCGCTCTGTCACCCAGGCTGGAGTGCAGTGGTGCAATCTTGGTTCATTGCAAACTCCGCTGCTCAGGTTCAAGCAATTCTCCTGCCTCAGCCTCCCAAGCAGCTGGGATTACAGGCACCTGCCACCACGCCCGGCTAATTTTTGTATTTTTGGTAGAGACAGGGTTTCATCATGTTGGCCAGGCTGGTCTTGAACTCCTGACCTCAGGTGATCCGCCTGCCTCTCAGCCTCCCAAAGTGCTGGGATTACAGGCATGAGCCACTGCGCCTGGCCACCTCCTTTATTTTTAAGATAACTTCTGATTTTTTTAAAAAATTATAAAATATGCATAACATAAAAGGCACTGTCTTAATCATTTTAAAGTGCACGGTTCAGTGTCACTAAGCACATTCACAGTGTCCTGCACCCAACACCACCCTCCGTCTCCAGAACTCTCCGTCTTCCCAGGCTGAAGCTCTGTCTCCACGAAACACTCACTCCCATCCCCTCCCAGCCCCGGACCCTCCCTCCTACTTCCTGTCTCTGTGGATCTGACGACTCTGGGGACCTCATATGAGTGGAATCACATAGAATTTGTCCTTTGTGACTGTTTTTTTAAGGCAGTGCATATTTTTTTGGGGGGGATGTACAATAAGCACAAAGGATGGAATAAAAATCATTCCAATTTCCCATGTACCTTCCTCCCCCATGACTGTCCGAGCGAACACTTTGGGGTGCACCCCTCTAAGTCATGACGTCCTTTTGCAAGAACAAAAGTTGGGGCCCAGGCTGTGCGACCTCCTTCCCGGTTCCACTCAGTGCACGGCCTGGGGGCGTGCAGGTCCTGACTCGCTCCTGGGGGCTCCGCTCTATACGAGATGCCGGCATTGTGCCAGGCACTGGTGCAGGTCCTGATGGGCCTCATGGGGTGCATTCTCAGCCTGGGCCATCGGTCAGAGGCGCTATTGAAAGGGTTTTAAGGCGGGGCGTGGTGGTGCAAGCCTGTAACCCTAGCAGTTTGGAAGGCTGAGGTGGGCAGATCACTTGAGCTCAGGAGTTTGAGACCAGCCTTTACAATATGGTGAAACCCCATCTCTACTAAAAATACAAAAAATTAAGCAGGTGTGGTGGCAGGTGTCTGTCATCCCAGCTACTTGGCAGGCTGAGGCAGGAGAATCACTTGAACCTGGGAGGCGGAGGTTGTGGTGAGCTGAGATGGCGCCACTGCACTCCAGCCTGGGTGACAGAGCGAGACTCCACCTCCAAAAAAAGAAGAAGGCTTTCGAAATACAAAAAGTAGCCAGGTGTGATGGTGGATACCTGTAGGCCCAGCTACTCGGGAGGCTGAGGCAGGAGACTCACTTGAACCCAGGAGGCGGAGGTTGTAGTGAGCTGAGATCGCACCACTGCACTCCAGCCTGGGGGACAGAGTGAGGCCCTGTCTCAAATGAATAAATAAATAAATAAGCTCTTGAGCTGCTGCCAAACTGGTGCCTTCTCTCGGAGATTCTCTGTGGATGCCTTCTCACACTGCCTTCCGCTTTTCACCCTGTTCCAGATTTCAGCATCTTGAGTGCAGCTGAGCGCAGAGTTGAAGACAAGGCATCCCGTGGCCAGGGGCGCGAGCTCTCCGGGCCCTCCCAGCACCAGGTTCCTGGTGAGTGGCTCTGTGGGTGGCTGTCCTGGTGCTCCGGGTTAGATGCTCAGGCCATAATGTGGGCAGCACATCCTGGACCACACTCACAGACAAAGACACTGAGGGTCAGGGAGGACTCCAAGTGGAAAGAGGCCCAGTGGGGATTTGGAGCCCGACTGCCATTATCTGGAGCCTGTGTTCTAAGCCTCTGCCTCTCCAGTGGGGCTGGAATCCAGGCAGGCCCTGAGCAGGGGCGTTTTTAAAATTTTTTTCCAAGAGATCTCCTGTACAAAATAGGCAAGGGGTTTTCTGTGTGGCTATGTGGCAGCCACAGGGAGTGGGCCTGGGGCCCTCCAGTTCCCTGCCAGCTCCTGGGCTGGAAGCAAGGGCCCCACCAGCGTTTTGCTCACTCATTTGCTTGACAAACGGGAGGGGTGAGGATGGAGGCGCAGAAGCTGGTGCTGGAGGCTGGAAGACGTGGCCTTCATCCTGGACAGTGGGAGCCACGGAGGTCTAGGCGGGGAGTGGCTGTGAACTGGGCAGGCTCAGTCTGCCGCTGGGGCAATATGGATGCAGGGAGCTCTCTCCAGTCCAGAGAGAGGCAGACGCCGGCAAGATTCCTGAGACCCAGAACGAAGGAGGGGAGGGGGCTTGGGGAATCACGTGCGTCTTCGTGAGGACATTTGTTGCCCCTCCCAGTGGTGCGGCGCTGGCTGGGGGGGGCCGGGTTGGTGGCTTCTCCATGAGGTCTGGTTGGGCCGCAGCCACTGGCACACATTTGGGGGTGTCCCTCCTGTGTGGTGTGTGAGCCAGTGCAGATGTGGGCGGGGTTCAGGGCTGGCCCCTCGGATAGCAGGGGACAGAGTTGGTTCCCCAAGCCCGGTAATTCCTGGCACTCCTGCCTCTACAGATCTGGTTCTGCCTCAGCCCACGGCCAGCACCAGCTTGCTTCTCCCTCCTCCACCTTCCAGGGGGATCCCTATGGCATCAGCTTGTCCAGGAGGCTGCCCCTGCCCCAGGGAAGCCACTGGGGCCCATTGGTCAAGTTCAGGACCCAGCAATGGGTCACTGAGGGATCTCAGCCACTCCATCCTGTCGGTCACTAGCTCCGGGCAGCCTCGTTTTCATGCCCCCAGTTTGAGAACTCTCCAGAAGCAGGCATGGAGGAGGGGCTTTTTCTTTTTTTCTTTTTTTTTTGAGACGGAGTCTCACTCTGTTGCTTAGGATGAAGTGTAGTGACATGATTTCGGCTCACTGCAACCTCTGCCTCCCAGGTTCAAGTGATTCTCCTGCCTCAGTCTCCCAAGTAGCTGGAATTACAGGCGTGTACCACCACACCTGGCTAATTTTGGTATTTTTAGTAGAGAAGGGGTTTCACTATGTTGGCCAGGCTGGTCTCAAACACCCGACCTTGTGATCCGCTTGCCTCGGTCTCCTGAAGTGGGAGGGCCTTTTTCTAAGTGCACAGTTCAGTGGCGGTAAGCACATTCTCAGAGCTGTGGAGCCATTGCCACCCTCCGTCTCTAGAACTTTCCATCTTCCCAGCTGAAGCTCTGTCCCCACTGACTCCCTGTCCCCCTCCCCTAGGCCCTGGCACCTACCTTCTTGCTTCCTGTCTCTGTGGACCTGGCAACTCTGGTGACTGTGCAGAGTGGGGTCACACAGTCTGTGTCCTTTAAAGAGGACCTACCTGGCTCTTGAAGATCCTCCTGCCAGCAGGGTCAGGGCCTGGAAAACCGAGGGACAGGCCCAACCTGGACCAAGTGGCATTTGGAGGCCCAGAGACGCCTTTGGCCAGGGTCCTCGTCTGTGAGTCCCCACCTGTGGGAGACCTGTCAGACACTGTGGCTTCCCAGATGTGCCCCCACCCCAGCCGTGCGGAGACTGAAGGAGGTGGGATGCAGGGAAAGACGGGCAGCCAGCTCGGGAGCAGCCCTCTGGGTGGCCGCTGCGCTTGCTGCACGACTTTGAGCAAACTCTGCCCCCTCAGCACTATCTCCTCCTGTCAGCCAGAAGGGTCCACCCGCGGTGCCACGGCCCCTCCAGGTCTTGCCCTCCCTCCTCCTGCCTCTGGCCTCAGAGATGTTCAGTCCAGACGCTGCTGCTCTGTGCATTCACTTGGGGCCTGGCCCGCCCAGTCATTCCTTCACTCAGTGAATGGTCCCGAGTGCCCACCGCCCCGGCCCCCTGCTGGGTGCTGGATTCAGAGATTAGAAACTGGCTCCTGTCTTCAGGACCTCTGGGCCGGGAGGGGAGGCCGCCGGACACCCGGGAGAGAATTTGAATAGGTGTGCCCGGCTCTCTAGGGACGAGTGCCCTGTGGCAGTCCCCAGGGAGAGCTCTGCAGGGGACGTGACAGTCAGACCGGGCACCCTGTCCTCAGCATTAGCCGCCTACCCTGGCTCTTGCTGACCGGGAGCGGGACTGGCAATGTTTATGGCTCTCGTGACCCCAGGGTGGCCGAGTGATGGGGCCTGTGTGTGGTTTTACTGCTCACCTTCCTTCCCTTCCTTCCCTTCTCTTCCTCGCTGAAGTTCTAAGGGAAAAACCCAAAAGGATCAGAAGCAGTTCTTGCAAAAGGGAGAAGACCCCCAAGTCGCCCTCCCCTAGAAGAGTGGCCAAAGACAAAGACGAAGGTAAGGTTTGCTATTCGGGGCCCTGGCAGGGCTTGGGGATGGGCATGTATGATCCTGGCACACTAGGTAGGCAGATGGCTTTCATTTCTGGGGCTGGGGCTGGGGCTGGGGCTGGCCAGCTGGACTGCCGTGTGCACAGGCTTGCTCAGGGCACCTGGGATCGGGAGGCCCGGCTGGAGCGTCAGGACCTGTGTCCCAGGCAACTGGTGACCCTGGCCACCACCGGAGCAGCAGGTGGTTCCTGTCCGGGCAGGGGCGTGTCCCTTGAGACAAAGTGAAAGTCCACAGAACACCAGGCACTATTGTCCTCTCAAAACCGGGGGGCTGGGCGCGTCTGTAAGAAAACAGAGCTGTTCAACCACAGTGTAGCACACACCCGCAGCTCACGGGACCCGCAGCTCAGGGCACCCGCAGTTCAGGGCACCCACAGCTCATGGCACCCACAGCTCCCGGCACCCACAGCTCAGGGCACCCACAGCTCAGGGCACCCACAGCTCCCAGCACCCACAGCTCAGGGCACCTGCAGCTCAGGGCACCCGCAGCTCACGGCACCCACAGCTCCCAGCACCCACAGCTCCCAGCACCCACAGCTCAGGGCACCTGCAGCTCAGGGCACCCAGAGCTCTTGCCACCTGCAGCTCACAGCACCCACAGCCCAGGACACCCACAGCTCACGGCACCCGCAGCTCAGAGCACCCACAGCTCAGAGCACCCACAGCTCGGGGCACCCGCAGCTCACGACACCCGCAGTTCACGACACCCGCAGCTCAGAGCACCCGCAGCTCACGGCACCCGCAACTCACGACACCCGCAGCTCAGAGCACCCACAGCTCACGACACCCACAGCTCATGACACCCGCAGCTCAGAGCACCCACAACTCACGGCACCCACAGCTCAGGGCACCCGCAGCTCAGGGCACCCACAGTTCACGGCACCCACAGCTCACGGCACCTGCAGCTCACGGCACTCGCAGCTCAGAGCACCCGCAGCTCAGGGCACCCGCAGCTCAGGGCACCCACAGTTCACGGCACCCACAGCTCACGGCACCCACAGCTCACGGCACCCGCAGCTCAGAGTACCCACAGATCACAGCACCTGCAGCTCAGGGCACCCGAAGCCCACAGCACCCATAGCTCATGGCACCTGCAGCCCACAGTTCTTCAGAGCAGTAACAGATACCGGCATGGGTGTTCGTGTGGTGGGCAGCTCAGGGCACGCTTGGCTGAGGGAGCCGTGCTTGCTTGCTTTGTCATGAGGTCGCATTTAATAAGCAAGCCCAGGACATCTCCTTCCACCTGCACACCTGGGGGTGGGAAAGGGTCTTCCGCAGACCCCACTGTCTCCAGTAGCTTGGGGACTCCGCGAAGGCGCATGGAGGTGCAAGTCAGCCACACGCTTGCATTGCGCTTAATTTCATTTGTGTTTCCCGGAGAGTCCAGTCAGGCAATGCTGAGGGTGGCTACCAGTGGTCAGAGGAAATTATAATCCAGGCATCTCCTCCCTGAGGACCGGGCAGGGATGTCAGCACCCTGCAGAGACCCAGCGGCCTGGGCATGGGTTTTGGAGCTTGCAGGGCAAACCTGAGAGCTGCCCTTGCCCTTCAGTAGTGTTGCGGGGGGCGAGTGGCAGGCAGCATCCCTCCGGGACTTCCCTCTGGGGCGTCTTCAAGGTCAGAGGAGTGGCATGGCCAGCGCCCACACTCTGTGGGCTCACTGAAGCCTCCTGGTTCCCTGCCGAGGTAGGCAGTCTTGCTCCCATCCTGTAGATGAGGCAACTGAGGGTCACAGAGATTCCACGGCCTGCCAGGACCGCACAGAGGCAGAGCCTCCTACCCGTCCAGCCCAAGGTCAGCGCTCCTAACCTGGGAGCCCGGCCATGTGCACCTGGGGCCAAGGCTGGGCAGCTTGCCAGGCCACCCTCCAGGCTTGGGTCCTGGGCCACCGAACCACAGGGTCTGGGGACACCAGCAAGAGCCCCCAGGTGCTGAGATTGGCTTTGGCGGACCCTTACCCTAAGTGTGAGCAGCGCCAGCTCATGGCCACTCCTGTGAAGCTCCATACCACTTTCCCCACAGTGCGAGCAATCATAGCCCTGGGGCTGTGGGGAGGGGCACCGCATGGCGTGTGCTCTGTATGTGCCCAGGTGCTGAGCGTCTGTCTGGCGTCATCAGACCCTGGCTCCTCTGCTCTCAGGCAGAGCGGCAGCTTCCAGCCGAGAGCAAATGCCTCTGTGCCCATGCCCAGGGAGGACTCTCAGGTGAGGTGGGAGCTCAGCAGGGCTGCGGGGCCACTGCGTGCATTTGGTGGGGCCAGAGGACGTGCAGGAGGGGAAGGAGACCGAGGGACCCAGGCACCAAGAAGGTTCTGGAAGGCCGCAGAAACATGCGTACAATATAATAATTTTCTGCATGATCATCCCCTCCCTCCCCCAGGTCTTTGGTTTGTTTTCTTTTCATGGCTCACTTGAAAAATGACCTGCTTTGTGCCTGACACCGGGTCAGAGGCCGTGCCACCGGCCACATTCATCATCGTAAGCAGCGTGTCACCCTGACAGTGCTGACCATTAGTTTCTGTCAGTGACGAAGTCACAGCTGGGCCAAGGAGAGATGAGTTTCGGTTCAGAGGTCAGAGCCACAGGACTTGGGAATTGGATGAATTAGAAATTTGCTGTAGTTAACAAAAAATTAAATCACAATAGTTATAAAATATTCATCCATCCGGGCCAAAGGAAAATGAAGCCCGATATTTAATTTCAGATTATATCACCTCACTTTGCATTTTTTATCATAGATTAGGTCGGCCCCGGAACTTTGACAGGGCACTTGGGGACTTCATCCATTTCCACAGATTAAAAATCCTCTCTTAAAAAAATTAATTGCCATTAAACTGCTCAGTGGAAGAAAAAATGTGCCCACCAGGACCCATTTATCGAGCGGGACCCTCTGGCGGGCTAATGGGGAAGCGAGCAGCCAGCGGTGCAGGGGCCGGGCGGGCAGGCGGGCAGGCCCTCCCCAGGCGGGTCCCTGGCCCAGCACCCCAGCGAGGGAGCCTGGCTGACTTTGTGTGGGGGAGCAGCTGTAGGGACAAGGATGGAGAAACCTCACCAGGGCTCCCCTCCACACCAGGTCCCCCACCCTGAAACCTAGCCGTGGGCATTTGGGTCATGCTGGCCTCAGCTCCAGCCTTTGACACCACCCTGAGCCAGCGGAATCCTGACCCCCTTCCAGGCCCAACCCCCACAATGATCGTCACTACCTCCGTGTGGCCCTGTGGGAGGTGCTATGAGATATGCACCCCATTTTACAGAGGGGGAAACTGAGGCATAGGTAAGTTACGTCACTTGCCTGAGGCCCCTGGCTGGTGAGTGGCCGAGCCAGACTTCAACCCAGCTCTGGGACTCCTGAGACCACGTCCTAAACCTTCCTCTACCTTGCGGTCCTGTCCTAGACGGGGTATAGCCTTAAGGGGTTCCCACCCTAAAGTGGGCATGGGCGTGAGGTGTTTCCTGGGGTCCTGTCTTGGAAATAGCGTGGCCATAGGGAGCCTGTCCTTGGGGATGTGGCTCTGGGAGGGCATGGCCTGGTGGGGGTGACGGCCCAGCCCACTCCCCTTCCTGGAGAGGTAGCTTCAGGCCTGTGGCTGGTGGCCAGGGGGCAGGGCAGTGCAGGGAGGGTGCCATGGCTGGCGGGGGGCTAGGGAAGTCACTGACTCAGTCCAGGAGCCTGCCCCTGGGTGCTCAGCTCTCTGGATGGTTCCTGCCCAAGGCACCCTCATTTGGCAGAAAGTCTCCCTTCCTGGGGGACAGGACGAGCCCTGGCTGATACTTCATGGTGGTCTCGACCCGAGGCCACGTGGTGGAACTGCCCTGGGCTGGGCCTTAGGAAGGGGCGTAGGGGCCAGCGATCCATAGCACATGTGGTCTTGGCCCTGTGGAACCAGCTGGAATAAGCAGCGTGTGTGAGTGTGTGTGAGTGAGTGTGCATGTGTGTGTGTGACAGTGTGCATGTGTGTGTGTGAGAGCGTGCATGTGTGTGAGTGTGAGTGTGTGTATGTGAGAGCACATGTGAGGGTGTGTATATATGAGCATGTGTGTATGTTTGTGTGTATGCGAGAGCATGTGAGGGCATGTGTGTATGAGTGTGTTTGTGTGTGTGAGTCTGAGAGCATATGAGACTGAGTGTGGTAGCGTGTGTGAGAGTGAGCAGGTTCAGAGCACGTGTGTCTGTAAGTGTGTGAGCATGAGACCATGTGTGAGCACGTGTCAGCATGTGTGCAAGTGTGTGCACATGTGTAAATGCATGAATGTGTGAGCGTGCCAGAGCATGTGAATGTGTAAGCATACGTGACAGCACATGTGAGAGCATGTGTGTGAGTGTGTGAGCATGAGAGTGAGTGTGCCAGTGCCTGCTAGCATTCGTTGTGTGTGAGCCTGTGAGCACGTGAGTGTGAAGGTGTATGATGGCATATCTGTGAGTGTGAGAGCCTGTGAGCACTTGAGGGAGCTGTGAGCATGTGTGTGAGAGTGTGTGAGCATGAAAGTGTGTGTGATGGCATATGTGTGTGTGAGCCTGTGAATACATGGAGTTGTGGCATGTGTAAGAATGTGTGTGTATGTGTGAGAGCATGTGTGTGACCATGTGTGAGAGCGTGTGTGAGAGCACGTGTGTGAGAGCACGTGTGTGAGAGCGCGTGAGCACGTGTGAGCGTGTGTGAGGGCGTGTGAGCATGTGAGTGCGTGTGAGTGTGAGAGCATGTGAGTCAGGGCCCGCCCTGCTTCAACCTTTGCCGGGGCCCTCGGTGGGGGGCCTGTGGGCCTGGTGGGTCTGGTGTTGGCACAGGTGACGGTGAGCTGGGCTAGGAAGTGCCACCTTGATGAGCAGTGCCCGCCACGTGATGGCATTGGTGGGTGAAGGCTCACCTGTACTCGGGATGTGGGGCTGTTTGTGGCTGCAATGACCAGGACCCCCTGTCCTGCCAGCCGGGAGCCTTCACCGCTGCCCACCTGTGTGACCACCGACTCTGCTGGCTTGAAAGTGGATGAATCTCCTGTGGCTCGACTCATGTGGCCCGCGGCGATGGGACCTCCCGTGCTGCGTGCGGAGCCTGGCTGAGGGGCCGAGGGGCTGAGGGGCCGAGGGGCCGAGGGCCGGTGTTGTCACTCCTGTGGCCGCTGCTGCTCCCGTTTCTTTCGCGTGCTGCAGGCCTGGCCTGTGCCGAGAGCTTTGTCAGCAAGGCTGTGGGGGCAGGCTCTGTCTTCCTGGCTTTGCTGAAGACGACTCTGAGGGTCAGGGAAGCCACTTGCTTGTGGCCGCCCTGAGACTCAGCCTTGCCCCGTACTGGCTGAGGGTCTCACCCTGCCCAACAGAAGCCTAGACGTGAGGGATTCCCCCTCCCCCGCTGTGCCCTCTAGGAGTGTTGAAGTGGCCTCTGGGGCTGCGCAGAGCCACCAACCTCCCTGCCTGGGCCAGTGCCCAGAGGGTCGTGGGGAGCCCGGCTGTGTGTGTGTTTTCTCTGTTTAAGATTCGGAGCTGGCTGGCGTGCACGCCTGGAGGAAGGGACAAGCTCTAGTGAGGTCGCTGCTTGGGCCCCCTCCCGCCCTCCGCGGGTTCCAGAGCAAGGCCCCCTGCAGAGACCCGGCTCTCGCCTCGGACTTAGGTACCTGTGCCTCTGCCACGGGCTCTGCCCTGCTCTGCTGTGGCATCTGGGGGGCGGGGAAGGGGAGGAGATGCCCAGGCTCCAGGTGGTCTGGAAGCAAGGGGTGTCGGTGCCTCTCACGGCAGCCTGCAAACACCCTCCAAACCCGCCATCCACACTGGACTTCGGGCAATATGTGTTTTCAAAGCCTGAGAACAGGGTTTCTGCCCCTGGGAGGCTCCCTTGCCAGCTCCCAGCGCAGGCACACTGCCAAGGCCTTCTCTCGGCAGAAAGGCAGGTTGGGAGCTGGCAGGGGCTCCCCAGACACAGGCACCCTCCACCCGTGCTCAGCTAGCATGTGCAGAGTGGCAGCTCATCACACAGGTGCAGCGCCCACCCTCAGAGGGCTTCTGCCTATGAGGATGGGCGCAGTGGCCAGGGGGTAACTGGAAGGGGCAGGGGCCCGAGGGCCTCCCTGACGTCCCCACGCTCCTCACCTCCGGCCCGGTGGAGGAGCCGGCCTTGCTCTCCCCTCCTCGCCCCTGACGCTCCTGTCTTTGCAGGGGGCAGCAGGAAAGTCACAACTACCAAGCGCTCGCCTGTCTGTGCCCGGTGGCCGAGTGCCACCTCCACCCACGGTGACCAGCAGGCGTCTGGGAACACACCCAGCCTGGCTTCCTTTGACCAGCCGGCGACCATCCAGACGGCCATGGCCATCCTACGAGACCTGCGCCAGCAAATCCAGGCCGGGCTGGAGCTGGCCCAGAGCCGGGAGGGGGGCCGGGAGCTCGGGCCGTCAAAGCGGAGGCTGCAGGACGTGGCAGGAAAGGGCCCCCGCAGGGACCCGGGAGCACACAGCTCCTTCTTTAAGAGTCCCTGGGCTGGGACGGAGGGGAAGCGTTCCTCTTTAGAGAGGGCTAGGAGTTTCCACTCCTGGCAGCCCCGGAGCCTCTCCCCTGAATGGGAGTCCTGCCTGCAGGGGGCCTGGGGGGTCCCAAAACAGGACCACTCCTTCCAGAGGCCAGAGAGTCCTCATGAGAGGTTGGGCCGCTTCTCCCGGCGGCCCTGGAGTACGTTGGCAGGGCAGGCCTGCAGTCCACAGAGGGCCTGGGGGGCCCAAAGACAGGGCCCCGCCTCCCAGAGGCCCGGGAGCCCCCCTGAAAAGCTGAGCGCCTCCCCCCGGCAGCGCTGGAGTGCTGTGGCCATGCAGCCCTGTCCTCGGAGGGCCTGGACTGCTTGTGAAGACCCGGAGGCCCCGGTCCCCAGTCCATGGAACCCTCTGGAAAGGCCCGGTCCTCCAGCCCAGCGCCCCTGGAGCAGCTCCTGCGTGCAGAGGGCCGGCCCCCTGGCCCAGGGCAGACGCATTGGCTCCCCTGCCTCAGGTGCCAAGCATGCCCTGCCAAGGCCCACAGGGAGCTTCCCTCAGAGCCCATCTGGGAAGGAGAAGGACGCGCCGCGGCCCTGCCCCAGGCCCCGGGGGCTCCCAGGACACAGCCCCGAGTCCCTGCGGGAGTTCATGCGCCAGAAGGCGAAGGCGCGGCGGCGCCAGGCCCTGGAGGAGAAGGCGGCGGCCCTGCGCGCTCGGGAGCTGAGGAGCCGGAGGCTGCAGGAGGTCTACAGGCAGCAGAGGGAGGCCGTCCTCCGCACCGCGGTCCCCGTGGTCTCCCAGACCACCCCTGGCATCGTGACCTTTGTCCCCAGTTCCGCACAGTCTGGGGTACGTGCTGAGGGCGGGTTTCGGGGACTCAGCTCAGCCAGGGGCTAGAGGCTCAGGCGTTCAGGTGCTGCCCCCAGCCCCCGGTGCCCTCCGGGGAGTGGGCGGGTGAGGGCTGCAGCCGGGGCCACGGGGCTGTGTGGCGTTGCTGACACTGCCTGTAGAAAGGGAGGGCATCCGTGGATGATCCCCTGGAGGCCCTGGTGAGGCACAGGGTCAGACCCGGGTGCCTTTGCCCCGGGTACGATGGGGCTCCTGGGGGATAGACTCCCTTACCTCTCACAGCTCCTGAAGTGGGAGCCCCAATTCCTGCAGGGCTCTGGGGAGGCAGCCTGCATCCCCCAAAGGAGGCCAGGGCCCAGCTCTGAGGCTGAGGCTGGGGCATGTGGTCTTTCTGCCGGGGGCTCTGATGGCACTGCCCCCTACGCTAGGATCTGGAAGCCTCCGGGAGCCTGGAGTCGCCCGTGCTGGAGTGGAGCAAGGTGACCTCTGGCGTGGTGCTGGGGGGCCAGGAAGCCCCAGGCAGGTGGGCGCAAAAGTGCAGGCACTTCGTGTGCTGGGTAGGGCCGTGGGTGGGCTGGGCTGGGCCGAGGACAGTTCTGGGTGTATTCTGGGGCCTCGATTCATTGCCTCATGACCAAGATGCTCCTCAGGTTGGGTGGGCTCTGCCGACTCCCACCCACAGTGCCACCCAGCTGCTTGGAGCAGGTTCTCATTGAGGCCAGAGTCACGTCAAACTTCAATCCACCATGATAAGTGCACATTCTGTGGCATTTAACACCCTCACCGTGTGTGTGCAACCACCACTTCCACTGAGTTCCAGAACATTCCATCCCCCATGAGCCCCCACCCTCAGGAGGCAGCCCCTCCCCCAGCCTCTGGGGTCACCAGTCTCCTTTCTGCCTTGATGGAGTTACCTGTTCTTTTTTTTTTTTTTGAGATGGAGTTTTGCTCTTTTGCCCAGGCTGGAGTGCAATGGCGCAATCTTGGCTCACTGCAACCTCCACCTCCCAGGTTCAAGCGATTCTCCTGCCTCAGTCTCCTGAGTAGCTTGGATTATAGGTGTGTGCCATCATGCCTGGCTAAATATTGTATTTTTAGTAGAGATGAGGTTTCACCATGTTGGCCGGGCTGGTCTCGAACTCCCAACCTCAGGTGATCCGCCCGCCTCAGCCTCCCAAAGTGCTGGGATGACAGGTGTGAGCCACTGCCCCCCGCCCGGATTTGCCTATTCTTGACACTTTATCTAAATGGGATCACGGCTCAGGTCTGGCTTCTCTCGCCGAGCACGAGGTTTCCCAGGCTCATCCGTGTTGCCGCTGGAGCTCATTGAGTCAGTGGCTGAATAATGCCCACTGTGGGCAGGTGACCTTGTCTTCACAGCCTCGTGGCTGACAGGTGCCTGGCTGCCCCACCCGTGGCTGCTGTGAACCGGGCACACGCACCTCCTTCAGCCGCTGCTGCGCTGTGTTTCTTGGGTCCATGCCTGGGAGTGAGTGGCACTGGCACGGGCACCTCTGTGTACAGCTTTCTCGGAGACTGGCACCCTGTTCTCCACAGTAGCCGCCCGGGTTCCCGACCCCGACAGCACCAGGGGTCCCGTTCTCCCCACTTCCTTGCTGCGCTGATTTTTCGGTTCTTTTCTGTGTTTCTGTTTTGCTTTTACTACCGTGTATTTTAATTTCTGGAGGCCCCTTCCCGGGGACATCGTGAATCACACACGTGGGGTCTGAAGACCACCCCCCATTTGCTTGTGGGAGTTGAGCCTGGGTCTCACTACAGGTGTGAGTTTCCAGCCTGTCTCTCGCCCAGGAAGGGCTGTGGATAGCCCCAGCTTCAGGCCCGTGGCAAACACTCTCTGGCCTGGCCTCACGCTGGGCACCTGTAAGGAACTCACGGCCAGGCGTCCTGCATGCCCTTGGTTCTGGTGGGCAGGGGGAGCTGGCTCAGAGGCCGGGAAGGGGGCTCCCGCCTGCCAGGAACGCCCCACCCTGAACTCCCTCAGGGCTGCCGGTGGCGCAGCTTTGGCAGCTGGTGTTGGGGGCTCAGGCTGGCCCCGGGAGCTCAGCTCCCACCCTCTCTGCAAGACCCGACCTCTCTCTCTGGCTGCTTTTGGGTCCATTTGGTCTTGAAAACGCTTGTTTTGGGATCAGTCCCCGAGAGTCTGGGTCAGCCCAGGGGCAGCTCCTGTCAATGTCTAGTGAGATGAGGACACAGGGCCTGAGTGTGCCACCAAGTGAGCGTCCCACGCTGGCCCTGCTGTGCCATGCCCACCCCAGGGGCAGCCCCTCCCCTGCTGCCCACAGTCAGGCTCTGTTTGCACGACGGACGCTGGTGAGCTCGGGCCTGGCATCTTGAGCGGCTGCAGGGCCTCAACGTTCTTCATCGCGGCCTTATCTTTTTTTTTTCCACCTAAAACATTGTAGCCGGGCGCGGCGGCTCACACCTGTAATCCCAGAACTTTGGGAGGCTGAGTCGGGAGGATCACCTGGGGCCAGGAGTTTGACACCAGCCTGGACAACACAGTGAGACCTCATCTCTATTCTCTCCAGAACTCTTCATCTTCCCAAACTGACACTCTCTCCGTAAAACGCTGACTCTCCATCTCCTCCCAGCCCTTGGCAGCCGCCATTCTCCTTCTTGTCTCGATGGACTTGCCTGTCCCAGAGCCCCCACGGGAGTGGGAACACACCGTGTTTGTTCTTTTCATTACTGAAACACCAGGGGTTCGGTCTCAGTCCTGCTCCTGCCACGCAGAAGGCCCATCGCAGAGACAATGAGCACTGCCGGGGAAGAGGCTCAATTGGGTGCTGCAGCCAAGGAGATGGGGGCTCAGTCTCAAATCCAACTCCCTGACTAAAGGTGGGGGTTGCCTCTCAGGGAAGGAATGTAGTTCCATGTGGAAACAGGAACTAGGGAGGGGTAAGGAAGCAGGCAGGACCAACGAGGGCTCTGGTGTCTCTTTGCCCAGATGCGGTGATCTGGTGCATTTCAGCTCCTTGACTCTGTCTGGGAGGCCTGATGGTAGGTTTCCTGAGAAAGGAACTCAGATAAGACAAAACTTTCTCATGTGTTGAGACTGGCAGGGCTCATTTCTATGTTTATTCAAAAGAAACCATGAACACGAGTTCCAGGGGACCGTTGGGCCAGCTTCACTTTGTGCCTGACTCATTCTACCAAGGGCAACGTCGTCGCCTGTGTCGGGCCTGCTTTCCTTTTCAAGGGTGAATACTATTCCCCCATCAGTGGACCTCATTTCGCTTCTCCATTTGTCCCTGCATGGACACTGGTGGCTTCCACCTTTTGGCTGTTGTGAGTAAAGCTGATGTGAACATGGGTGTGCAAGTATCTCTTTGAGACTCGAACTTCAGCTTTTCTGGGTACATGGCCAGAGGTGGAAGTGCCAGACCCATGGGGGTTCTGTGTTTGACTTCTTTTTTTTTTTGAGATGGAGTCTTGCTCTGTTGCCCCGGCTGGAGTGCAGTTGTGTGATCTCGGTTCACTGCAACCCTCGCCTCCTGGGTTCAAGCAATTCTCCTACCTCAGCCTCCCAAGTAGCTGGGACCACAGGCGCCTGATGCTGTGCCCGGCTAATTTTTTGTGTTTTTAGTAGAGATGTGGTTTCACCGCATTAGCCAGGATGGTCTCGATCTCCTGACCTTGTGATCCGCCCACCTCAGCATCCCAAAGTGCTGGGATTACAGGCGTGAGCCACCTCGACCGGGCTTATATTTGACTTCTTGAGAAATCACCAAACTGCCGGTCGCTGCGGCTGCACTGTCTTACACTCCCACCAGCAGTGCTCAGGATCCAGTTCCTCTGTACCCTCGCCCACACCTGGCCCTATTCCTTGTACCCTCGCCCACACCTGGTCCTGTTCCTTGCAGCAGCTGCATGGTTTGTTGCGTGGATACCGTCACTGATTCCCTGGCCCCTGTGGACAGACACTGGGTCGGTCACAGATGCTGCTGCAATGCTCACCCCCAAACTCGCCTGCTTTGTGCGCCCTGCTGGGGCCAGCCTGGGCTGACCTGTCCACTCCTCTCTCTGCAGCTTCTGCCTGTGTTTGAACAGAGCCTGGAACTGTGCTGAGACCCTAGAGCCCCCAGGGACCGGGGGCCCCCAAGATGGCCGGGATGCCCCCGCACTGCTGTTAGCCTCACCCTCACTGGGATCCCTGGAGCCCCAGGACCTGACTGCCCGCTACCTACCCCGGGGGCTGTGCATCTACCTGGACCCAAAGGAGGCCGAGCACCTGGGCACTTCCAGCCCCCTGCACCTCCAGCATAAGCAGGCGCGGCTGCAGGCGCTAGAGACCACAGCCAGAGTCCTCAAGCAGCGAGTTGACAGCCTCACCGCCAAGCTGCAGGGTGCCGAGGCACCGGACACCATCGGGGACCCAGCCTTGGGCCTGCCATGCTCACGGCCCTACACCCCGCCTGCCGCCCCCACGCTTGCCGCCCCAGCTTGCCCTGGAGGCTTGAGGCCCAACGGGGGCAGAGGGGCGCCCAGGGACTGGGCCAGCGTGCAGCCCCAGCCCCTTCTCCCCGCCACCTTCTTCCTGGATGGCAAGACACTGCCGTGGGGCCCCAGCTGGGAGCAACAGCAGAGCGTGAGCCTGAGGGCCCACCACGAGAGCAAGCCCCGAGGTAGGCCAGCACCTGGGCCATGGTGACCGCTGGGTGGTCAGGGGTTCCTGTGGGCTGGGAGGAATGGGGGCCCCATTTTCTCCCTGAGCCTTGGTTTTCTTCCTGGAAGTGGGGATAGGAGGACAACAGTCAGGGGTTGGCCAGGGAATCTGAGCAGCACAGTGTGCCTGGGCCCTCCCACGTGACATGCATGGGCTCTCTCCCGTGGTGCATGGTGTGTGTGGGCTCTCTCCTGTGGCGCGTGGTGTGCATGGGCTCCCTTGCGTGGTGAATGGCATCCGCAGCAGCTGTTGCCCCTGTCTTGTCTTCTGGAAGAGGAATGGTGAGGCTGCTCTAGTGACTCCTTCCCTCCACCTCTCTACCCTACCTCCAGCAGAGAGGCCTGAGGGCCAGGGAGGCTCCCCACACCCCCAACCCATGTCAGGTGTGGCCCCAGCTCTCCCACTGTGGATGGCTTGGGCGCCCCATCCCGTGCTCCTGGCTGACCAGGGAGTGCAGCCAGGTGTCCTCTTCTCCAAGGTTTCCCAGAAGAGGGACTTGTGGACGTGAAACTGGACAAAAGGCTGCAGAGAGGCGTGGCCCTCTTCCAGGCCCTCGGCACCTCTGCGGGGAGGTAAGCCCACCTGCCACCTGCGCTCAGGGGCTGCCTCTCATGTCACCCCTGTGTGTCCCCATCGTGCTGGTCTAGAGGCCGCGGCCAGGGACCTGGAGCAGGTGGTGCTGGTTTGGACACTGGCTGGGGCAGCGAAACCCATGTCAGGCACGCTCCCCACAAATGCCCCGTCTGCCTGCGGGCCTCGGGGATGCTGTGGCTTCAGCTCCCTCTCATCTGCTGCTCCAGGCTGAGTGCAGGGGCAGTGAGTCGGGTGCTTCTCGCCATCCCAGCCCCCACCTGAGCTCTCAGGGCCCCTGTCTACAGAGCCTCACACCCCTCCTGGCTCTCATCCCCAGCGCGGGCTTCGGCCTCTCTGGGATCACGTCACACAGATGCATCTGAAGCCCCTTCCCAGGGACACTGTGCCCATCCCGCACCCCAGGCCCCTCTTGGCCCCAACTCCCTTCTCCTGGGGAAGCATCTGTCCTACCCCAGCGCCTGCAGCCCCACCCAGTGAGCCCCAGGCTGAAGTGGAGCCCAGCAGGCTCAGTCCATGGGGGCTTTGCAGGTGGAAAGTGAGTTAGATGCTTGTGATGGAGGCTGCACTACCTGAGCCTCTGTAGCACCTGAGCCTCCGCGGCAGCAGCCATGGTCTCCAGTCCCTCCTGGGGATTTGTGAACACTCTGGACCTCCTCTCCTGAAAAACTCCCCACCCCTGCCAAAAATCGTCCTCCGAGCCCACCTGCCTGGCCAACCTCTCGCTCTTGCTGGGGTGGGCTGGGATCCAGGGCCTCCTGGCCAGCAGTGCCCCCTGGTCCCCGAGGCTCCCTGCATACCACGTGCTGCCAGGTGTTCTTGGGCCACTCCTGGTCACTCTCACCCCTCTGTCCTTGACCTTGACAGAAACGCCCTGGGTGGGGGACCCCAGCCCGGCCTCAGCAGCCGCTCCCCAGGCAGCCCCGGAACCCAAGCTCGAAAACTCAGCACTATGGGCGGGGCGGGCAGGAGGCCAGGCTGGCAGCTGTCTCTCAGGAAGGCCTCTGCCTCCTCAGCATGTGACCAGATCCACCAGGGACACTGAAACGTCAGCTCCCTGGGCCCCAGGGCCTTTGTCACACCACCCCCCTCCACCAAGCTGTCCTCTGCTGGGTGGCTGAGGGTGTGAGGGCAGATGCCATGGATAGCACTTGGATGACAGTGGGCATTGTAGGCAGAGGGACTGTGGCTCAGAGTCCACACGTGGGGGAAGGGGATGCCCCTCCCCAAGCTCACCCTTCCCTCCTCTTCTCTCCCCTCTTCTCCCCTCCCCTCCTCTCCTTCAGCTGGGACATTTCCTGGCCTGATGTCTCTCCTGCCCATCCTTCCAAGGAAACCCCACCAGTTTCCTCTCCTGAAGCCCCCCTTGACCTCAGGGATGGTGGGCTTGGTGCCTGTGCCAGGGCTTTGAGTTGTACCCCATCTCGCCCCTGACCCCACCCGCTGCCCAAGCCTTGCCCAGCCTGTGGAACTGGGTCACTGCAACCAGAAGAGGGCAGCATCGGGCCAGCCCTCACCTCTGCCACCTGTTCTGTCCAGCCCTTAAGGGGTGGGGGTGGTGCTTGAGAAGGAGTGGGGGTGTGTGGGAATTTTTGGAGAGGTTAATTCAGTGGCTCGGGCTCCTGGGGGACCAGCTAGATCTGCCTCCAAGGGCAGACCCAGGCTGAGGTCTCCACGTTCCTGGCCCAGCCTAGGTCCAGCCAGAGGGGCCAAGGTGCGGCCGGGTGCCCTGTGGTGCTGGCACCAACATTCCCACGAGAGCTAGGCACTGGGCTTCGTACTCTGCCGCACAGCCCTGCCAAGGCGGTGGAGAGGCAGCAAGAGGCAGAATCATATTCATGAACTGTGGCCTGGAGGGACCCAGGCTGGTGGAGAGCAGGGATTAGGGAGAGGCTCAGAGGCTCGCTGGGGCCTCGAAGGCTTCCGCCCCTGTTCAGGCAGTCAGGAAAGGGGCCTGGCCTGTTTCTTCTGAAATAGCCATTGCCACGCACCACCTGACAGGCTGGAGCTGCAGGACAGGCTCATGCAGCCCCCTCGCGAGTCTCCCATGCTGAGCCTCCCAGGTGCCCCAGATCCCGGCCACCTCTCAGACTGGTTTCTTTTCTTTTTTTTATTTTTGAGATGGAGTCTTGCTCTGTTGCCTAGGCTGGAGTGCAATGGAGCAATTTCAGCTCACTGCAACCTCCGCCTCCCGGGTTAAAGCGATTCCCCTGCCTCAGCCTCCCGAGAAGCTGAGACGACAGGTGCACACCACCACACCCAGCTAATTTTTGAATTTTTAGTAGAGACGGGGTATTTTCACCATGTTGGCCAGGCTGGTCTCGAACTCCTGACCTTGTGACCCGCCCACCTCGGCCTCCCAAAGTGCTGGGATTACAGGTGTGAGCCACCTTTCGGGCCTCAAACTAGTTTCTGGGTCAGGGGTGGGCCCATAAGCACTCAGTGGTGGAGGCGCTTCCAGCCACCCAGCCTGGGTTCCGGAACACTCTTCTGCAGGCCTGTGCTCCCGGGCGCTATGCAGCCCCTCATGGCCTGGGCACACGTCTAGCTCCCCTGCAGCACCGGGAACGTAGGTGGGGCTGGGTTGGGGGGTCACCACTATCACTGGGACCCGAACAGCCCCTGCCCACAGCAGGTGTGAGACAAACACCTATGGGCCCTGTGGGCTGCTGGGGGAGGGCATGTCCCCCTCCCACAACCCCTGGGACACAGGTGTGGGCAGCATCTTCAGCCATCCCGTGGGTTCTGGGTCCCTGTGTACCAGGAAGCACAGATGAGGCCCAGATTAGAAACGTGCAGTGAGACTGGCCATGCTCTCGGATGCAGGCTCGGCACGTGCCCCACCCACATGCCTGTCTCTCTGTGCACCCCGAAGTCCCCTCACCCCAGCAGTGCTGCTGCTCTCCCTCTTAGCCACCAACTGGGGAAAGGCCAGCGGCCACACCTGGCTCCTATCTCTGTCAGCCTTGTGTGCTGGCTGGCCTGTGTGGGGGCAGGTGTATGGGTCCAGCCGTGCCCGCCTCCGTGGCCACAGCCCCAGGTGCTCTCCAGATGGGTCACCCTGCAGCCTCCAATGCCAGCCTTGAGCAGTGGGGTGAGGGCCACAGCTGATGCAGGACCCTGTTCTGCTCCGGGCCTGGTGGGCAGTGTCCTCAGGAGATGGCCAAGGTGGTCCCGATGAGCACGCTGGCCTCGGAGACTGATCTTGGCCCTAGGGCCTGACGGTGGCCTTGGAAGCTGGCCATCCACACCTCTGCTCCCCCTGGGGTCTGAGTGTAGAGCCCCGGGCAGCCAGGCTTGGCACCATGCTTTGCACATGAGGGCTGGCAGCCTTGGTTCATGCTGCCATGCTGGCACACATGCTCAGACCCCTCCCTCTCGCCCCTGCCACTAGCTCACCCCTGCCACCAACTCACCCCTGCTACCCACTTGCCCCCGCCACCCATTCACCCCCCCGCTCGCCCCTACCTCCCGCTCGCCCCTGCCTCCCGCTTGCTGCACTCACCCTGCCTCCCACTCGCTGCACTCACCCCTGCCTCCCGCTCGCCCCTGCCACTCAGTCACCCCTGCCTCCCACTCACCCCTGCCACTCAGTCACTCCTGCCTCCTGATTGCCCCTGCCTCCCGCTCGCCCCTGCCTCCCGCTCATCCGTGCCTCCTGGACCCCAGGTCTCAGACTCTTCCCCAACCAGGCTTTTGGCCATCAGGTCCCACCCTGGGCACACTGTTGGGGGTCTGAGAGCTGCTCCAGGCCACGGGAGCCCAGGTTCCTGCTCAGTGAGGGGCTGTCCCCCAGACTTCCCTGCCAACCACCTTCTCCACGGGCCTGGCCCTGCCACGAATGCACCTGTGTTTTCCAGCTCACACACGGACCCTATCTGGGGCTCCCTGCGCCTGGGGGAGATGCCGTCGGCCGGAGGGGCAGACTCAGTGGCGCCCTGGACCCCCCGGAGCTGCGGTAAGGGCGACCCTGCGGACAGGCCCCGGGCTGGCTGGTTGGGTGGCCAGGGGCGTCTGCGGGAAACCCTTTCGCTGCCTGGCACTCGAGCTTGGCCCCGAGGGGTAGAGAAACCCTTTTCCATGTGGAGAGCATCCACACCTCGGTATTAAAGGTTTTGGAGGCTTTCGGGGCCCTCTGCGTGCTCTGTGCTGGCCGCACCTGCGCGGACGGGCGCTGGGTGGAGACCCACTAGCTTATTCCGTGACAGCCACGCCGGGGCCGCTGTGCTCAGGCCGCCTCCTGGGACGCGTCCCCACAGTCCCATCAGCCCGGATGCGACTCTTCCTCCTGCTGCGGAGTGTTTTTATCCCGGGTTTCCAAGGAGCAGCGCCCACTGCCTGGTGCCCACGAGGGGCCCAGACGCTGCTGGGCTTGAGGGTCTTGTCCTGGTGTGCGCTGCGCTGTGGGGCCGTCCTGGCCGGGGGTTGGTGGGGCGGCCGGAGGGGCCGGTGCAGCCTGGGGAACTGAGCCCGGACTCTGAGGAGGCGGGGCCTCTGAGAAGGCGGGGCCTCTGAGGAGGCGGGGCCGCTGAGGAGGCGGGGCCGCTGAGGAGGCGGGGCCTCTGAGGAGGCGGGGACTCAGAGAAGGCGCGGGGGCTCTGAGGAGGCGGGGCCTCTGAGAAGAAGCCCGTTCTGAGGAGGCGGGGCCTCTGAGGAGGCGGGGACTCAGAGAAGGCGCGGGGGCTCTGAGGAGGCGCGGGGGCTCTGAGGAGGCGC